AAGAAAATAATTATAAGAGAATGAGAATGAAATGATTTATAGAAATATTAGATAGATAAAATGCAATTAGGCTCTGGAAATTAATGAATTAAAGACCAAGAGAATTCTATTTGAATTCTACATTCTTGGGAAAATGAAAGTAGCAATTGTAAATTATGCATAAAAGCAAAAGAATAAATATTATTTACTAGCTATTAAATATTTACTAACAATGGGAAACATGGCTGGAAATATTATAAATTCTGGTTAAATGATAGGTTGTTTTCCTTCCAGGTAAGGGCATTAATATTTAGCATGATCAAAATGGATTTGAATCAGTTTATGATATTTTAGTATGTATCAACTGAACCTCAGATATACTTGAGGGACTGGGATCACTATCACTGTCCTATAAATTATTGAGTATTACATAATAAAATAATACAAATATTATGAAATAGGCTATATTTGGAAACAAACTGAAATCTACCATGCATTTTGTTCAGCTGTAGACTCTGACTTTAAGAAATCAGCTGATCAAAGGCAGAAATTTTCTTTCTTCATTTGCATGATCTGTATCAAATGAACTATGAGGAACAGTTTGTCATGAGACTCACTTAGAAAATAAAAGTCATGTTGTTTTCTATTGAGCAAACTTGTTGAATATAAATGCTAATAAGCAGATTAATCTTTTAATGTAGTTCAGAAATCCATACTACTTACAGATCTCCACTTCCATCCATGTATGCTTCAATGAAAAAAACAAATGAAAATCTGTGAAGCTATCCATAACAAAATGAGTCCACACATTCCAGGATAAAAATGAGTAAGGACATGTTACGTTAATGCACACATGTAGTAACAGTTAAGTCTTTTTTTTCCCTGTAAAGCAATACTAACATTTTTCCAATGTATAAATTAGTGGCCAAACTAAGCATACAGAACAGAATAGCATCTGCACTGATAGCAATAGCACCAAGAAAAAGCAATTCTAAGCAGGTCCTCTCCACAGAGAGAGATGGAAATCTTCAGGAAGATGTCAGGGCTAAAAAAGATGATGCGGTAATAGTTCAGCTCTTTACAAATGAAATAATAGGGGTAATAATAACAATAATAATACCTGTCATCACAAATCAATGACTCACTTATAAGCAGCTTTGCTGTCTTTTTTTCCTGAAAATGGGAAGAAACTAAATTGGCATACATTATTTGACCTTACATTGTGCCTTTAATATGCTTCTGAAACATGGCCATTTTGTACTGCTTTCTCATTCAGCATTGTACTGCAAGCAACTGGGAGCCATCAAAGTGTACAATATATTTCAGGGGCACTTACACAGTCTATATCCGTGATGGCGAACCTATGGCACGCGTGCCAGAGGTGGCACACAGAGCCCTCTCTGTGGGCACGTGAGCCATCACCAGCTGTTCTTTTGGTTTCCAGCATGCGCATGTGCACCAGACAGTTGGTCTTTGCGCATGCTGGAGAGCCAGAAACCTGAAGACCAACTGGCCAGCTCTGGGGCATGCAAAGACCAACTGGCGGGTGTGTATGTGCGTGCTAAAAACCTGAAGACCAGGTGGCCGGCGTGCACATGTGCCCCGCCCAGCTGGTCTTCGGGTTTCCGGTACTCTGGCACATGCATGCACATGTGTTCCAGTTTGGGCACTCAGTGCCAAAAAGGTTTGCCATCACTAATCTAAATACTTATCCAATCACATTATTTTCTTCTCCCAATGACTATCAACCTATCAACTAACGAGCGTGAGGTAGTTTCAAAGCATGTGTTTCTCTTAATTGCAGCAAAGTGGCCACATGAGCTTGTGTGGCTCAGATGTAGCTGCTATGTAAGTGTCTCTGGAGTCAGAGTTCAAGCAAGGTATTCTGATGTGTATTAAGAGACATGTTCTGCTTACTCTTTGTTGAATGAAGCTAGGAATGGGCTGCTGAGCTTCAAAGATTCACTCTCAAGGGTGACGGTCAATCAACCAAATAATTAATTTAAAAAGAAAAACAAAGTAGAAAGGAAATGGTTCCAGTCTCCCTTGCCACCCAAGCAGTGCTACAGAGTAGGCATCAAGCCTATGGACCAAATGGAAATAAGTGGTATCGTACAGTTGCTGCCAAGCACATCCTCCCCATCAACTACATCACTTCAAGCCAATTCTTCTATGTGACATGGATTGTATGGATGTGATGTGTGTGGGGGTTTTTTGTATTCCTAGAGAAACATGTCAGAATATTTGGACCTAAGCAGTAGGTTGTCTATGAGATGCAAGCTCCATTGAGGTGGTGTGAAGTGGAATGTCTTTGTACTATAGTAACTGGTCTGTATGGATGAACTTGGATTAATTTTAGTGAAGCTTTTTATGAGGGCTTTTAATTTGAGCCTTTGTAGGTTTTACTATGTCTTTTTTCTGACATATACTATGCTGTTTCTCTAAAAAGAAAAACAGAATAGTTGCATATCTTCTGATTCTACTACCAATTGATTTGATTATATAATTTAGACTCATTGTATCCCTGAGGAAAGTTTTGCCCAGAATGTTTTAATAACTTCTATTTTTATATTGATGTATACATTTTTATTGGAAATAAAAGGCAGATTCCCATAGGAACAGATAATCCCATAGTTAACCCAGTCCTATGTCATGTAGGGCAGGGGTTCCCAACCCCAACAACCGGGCCGCACAAACAAGTGAGGCCTCAAACCGCAGGATGCAGGCAGCATGCAAAACCATGCTCTCCACTCCACCCCCCGTCCACAGAAAAATCTTTGTCCATGGACCTGGTCCCTGATGCCCAAAAGGTTAGGCGCCACTGGTGCAGGGATTTATAAGTGACAACAAGTACCTTGAATTACATATGAAAGCCTATATAGGCTTAACAAGAAACATCCATAACTACCTCTGCTGCTGCATTGTGGACCAAATGAAGTTTCTAAATAGTTTTCAAGGTCAGCCCCATGAAAAGTGCATTGCAATAATTTATTTATTAGATTTTTATAGTGCCTTTATTACATGCCTAAGGCTTCCTTTTCCACCTGTTTTTCTCACAACAATCCTGTGAGGTGGATTAGGCTGAGAGAATGACTGGTCCAAAGTCACCCAGGCAGCTTTCATGCCTAAGGTGAGACTCACAGACTTCTAGTTTCTAACCTTTTGCCTTAATTACTGATATGATCAAGGCTGAGTGACTGTGAGAAGCCCCCCAATCCAGGAATAGGCACAACTGGCACGCAATACAGAACTCTGTGAAGGTCTTTGTGGCTAAAGCCGTCACCTGCTCTTCAAGCAAGAACTGGGAATCCAAGAGGATCCCCAGTTTGTGCACAGAATCCAAGCAAACACAGGCAAGAGATGTTCAATCAAGTACCATCAGCATATTGATAATAGTATAGTTTCACATAAATTCAGTGAAGACTTTTAGTGCCTTTTCAGTTTAAAACTCATATTCTCTAATAACTTTCACTGGCAATCTGCTGAGGACTCTTTCACTCAGTTAAAAGTCTGTAGAGGTTCTCAGTCATCCAGGTAATGGTTGTCCCAAAGGTGCTTTTTCATGAAGCAACTGGACTTCGTTTTTTCTTTGAAGATGTTTTGTTTCTCATCCAAGAAGCTTCTTCAGCTCTGGCAGGATAGTGGGGAACGGATGAATTTATTTTCCTTGCAGACAGCTGGTCATTTGCATCAGTGGTGGGTTTCAAATTTTTTTACTACCGGTTCTGTGGGTGTGGCTTGGTGGGCGTGGCTTGGTGGGTGTGACAGGGGAAGGATACTGTAAAATCTCCATTCCCTCCCCCCTCCAGGGGAAGGTTACTGCAAAATCCCCATTTTGTCCTGAACAGCTGGTACTCGGGAGGCAGAGAATAGATGGGGGCAGGGCCAATCAGAATGTTTACTACCGGTTCTCGAACTAATTTCCGCTACCAGTTCTCCAGAACTAGTCAGAACCTGCTGAAACCCACCTCTGATTTGCATCCTTTCAGAAGATTGTTGAAGTACTTGGAGGTTTATTTGTGTCCTCAGGGTCACCTGAGTAGTGCTCCTGGTTCTTGTAGTCTGCAATCCCCCCCCCTTCTGGAAATCCATTCCTACTCCCACACCATTCCAAGGGTGTTCATCCTGTTAGGATATGGTTTGAGCCTAACGAGTTGTCCAGGCAATATATGTGTTCTGTGACTTTAATATGAATATGTATTGTGTGACTTTAAAGTTTTACTGCTGATTCATTGTAATGCTAAGTCATGCTGTAATTATATAATCACTGGTTGTGAACGTATTTAAGAAAGGTACTGAAATGGATTCAGTTGATGATAAGCTACCATTGTGTATGGAGTTGCAACCATTGTGCTGTCATCGATTGGATGGATCTGCTACCATCGTGGTTTGTGAACCAGAGTGAGTTTGTTATTCCAACTACTACTACTACTATTCCAACTACTAACCAACTAATGCTTATGTGGTAAGAAGATATTGTATCACTGGACTGATTTAACTGGCAAAGACTTGGATTGATTTAAAGACTATGAGATTGTTTTTTCACTATAAAGTAAACTTTTGATAAACCAGTTTGCACATCTCTTATTCATTGCTCTCAACAACGTTTCTCTGTGCTCTACACTCTGCTGGCTGGTAACACAACAACAATATCCTTAACACATCCCAAATTGTATAGCTAAAAGTCTGTAGAAATTATCAGTCGTCCAGATCATGATTGTCCTAAAGGTGCTTTTTCAGAAGGTTTTTTCAATGAGGCGTGGGAAGAAAGATCTGAATCACCATATTCCGATTCTAGGCGATTCTGATTCTTTTCTTTCCCGGGTAGGGTACAGATCACATAGAAGTCTATAGGTCGGGCTGTGAAATCCTTGCCCAGAGTTATCAGTCCATCGCTGGTTGAGGAACCCCGGGCGAAAGGGGAAACTCCTTTCCTTGCTCAACTTCTCAGAACAAACACCGACCAAACCACAAACCATCCGACTCATTCCAAATTCTCCCCGACGCGGCTTCGTCAGACGTCACGAGGGCCCTGCGAGTGGCGCATGAGCACCCGCAGCCTCGTCCTCCGCTTGGCTCGCTTCAGTCTTCGCCGGAGCAACGCCGGGAAGGAGAGCGAGAGGTTCCGCCTCTGCGCTTAACGGTCTCCAGATTTATTACCGTCGCCCGCTGGTGAGTAATTCGTCCTTCGAGCCCCCCCCCCACCTTTCTCTCTGTGTGTGAACGGCACGGGGAGGGCAGCAAGGCGGTGGGACCGAAGTGGGGCGCGCCCCCACAAGGTTTCTTCGTGGGTTCTGAAGGGCAGGTTTCCAACAAAGGAAGGGAGAGCCGGGAAGGCTGAGCCCCCCCGGGCCTATAGCGAGCGTTAGGCGAAAAGAAAAAAGGGCCGTTCCGTTAAGGAGAGGGTGGTTGGGGGCAGAATAGGGAGGTCTGCGCCCCTCCGGGTTGGCAAAAACGGGGATCCTTTGTCCACGCCTTCTGCTCTGAGGTTGAAGGCTCCGACCGATCAAGACCGCGCCCTTCGCGGTGCGGACGGACGGGACGCGAGCCCTTCCCTCTAAACTCCCTGGAGAGGGAAGGAAGGGTAGCAACCTGGCTCGGGTCCCGCTCTTGTGCTGGACCTGCATGGGGCGGTGGGGAAGAACTGGGGCCCGGTTTCCTCCTTCGGCGAGGGGCGGAAACCAACGCTCAGTTATGGGAGTCGGAAAACGGGGAGGGGACAAAAAAAGGAAAGAAAGAGAGGCGCTTGGAGGGTCTCTGGGGCCTCGTTATGGGCGCCGTCGGAAAGCCTCACCGAGTCTCTGAGGCGGTCGGCGAAGAGGCTTTGAAGGAGAACTTGGAGTTTCATTACGTAGCATGTTTTCGTAAGCGGGAAAGAAGGAAGTAGTTGTGCTTTTTGTGAGACTTTGGTTTCCTTTACGCGGAGGTGTGCCTTGGATTTCCTTAGTAAACCATTCGTTAGTAATAGGGGCCGAATCGATATTGGCCTGATTCATACATCACATTAAAGCTCAATCCGATTTGGTTTAGTATATTGTGTGGATCTAGCCATTACGGTTTAGTGTAAAACATGGTTTATGGGTTAAAACAACCTTGAAGCCTGTGAAGACTTGAACTTCAACTCCTACAGTATTTTGTCATTGAACATGCTGGAAGAATTTGATGCATTAAACAATCACCTAAAGTCTGTGATGGCTGGAACTCGAACTCATACAGTCTTTTGCCATTGATCATGTTGGAAAAGTTTGATGAAGTTGAAATAAAGTAATTGGAAAGCAACAGGTTGTCTTCCCCTGTCTTATGTTCCGAGAATGAATTTTTAATTTTTCGATTAATATAGGATTTAACATACAGTGTTTTGTCATCGAACAGAATAACAGCATTTCCTGTCTTGAAGTACTTCTCTTTTTATATTATTAAAGTTATGTATTGTTAAAAATACAATTTTCATAGATTTTTACTAGTAATAGTTTTAGATTAATTCTAACAGCACAAGTTTATGCAGTTTGAAATTAAATTCTGTTCCTGGCAGAAGATTTTAGAGCGGTGCTTCCCAACCTTAGCAATTTTAAGAAAGGTGGACTACTGGTTGGGGAATTCTGGGAGTTGAAGTCCACCTTTATTAAAGTTGCCAAGGTTGGGAAACTCTGCTTTAGAGTTATGATTCAAGTTATCACTTCTGAAAAGTATAGGTAGATGGCACATCTTGAATTAAAAAAAAATGTCCCTTTCATATACTGGTTTTTTTTTTATTTCTCCAAAGGCACAGGAAATATTTTTAACCCATAAAACATTTTTAACAATTTAGAAAGTCAGATAAACTAATTGCTTCTAATGTATTCTTATTATAATTATTGTTAAAAGTAACAAAACCATCATGAATATCTTCCATCAATTTGACTAATTTCTCCCGTAAAATAATCCAGGTAGTTTGCCAACAATGTATTTCTTTTGGAAGTGAAATCCATAGTTTTAAACTATGTTGAGTGTGTTGTCTGTTCAGTTTGTTAGGCAAATCCTGTATTTATTTACTTTTTTAAAATTCATATACAGCCTTTTGTACATGATTTCAGATTGGTATACAGAGTGTTCTTTCTTCCTGCTTTCCCTCATAGCCGTATGAGGTAGGCTGGGCTGAAAGTGACAGGCCCAGGGTTACCCAGCAAGCTTGTCATTAAAAAACTTGTTCATTTTTCTACATTATACATAAAGTATGTTTATGCATCTCTAATATATTCACTGTTTCTTCCTTCTTGCTAAAAAAAGAGATCCAGTGTTCACTTTTTTTCACTTCACTTTTGCCATGCCTCTCAATTAGTTTGGAAAGATGCTTTTGGAAGTATTAAGGAGGTATTGAATGACCTACTTTGTATTAATTCCACAAAATACTTTGTTATCCAGAGAGTTATTATGTTGTGTCTCTCCATTTATTCAGATAAAGTATAAAGATACAGTATAACCAATAAGTTGGTTAAAGTGTACCAGTATAACCAACTTATTATGTCATACAAGGCAAAAACATCCTTCACTAAGCCTAATCAGCAATGAAATAAAGCAACAAAACTTTTTTCTGTACTTTCATTGATATCCAAAATCTGAGATTTGAGCTGTATGTTGCCTAACTGATCTGATTCCTCAATTATTTCGTTACCTTCCCCCCCATCCCAAGAAAACTAGGCGGTTCATTCCTAACGCTAGGTTCATTAGGAACAAGTTAAAAAAAATAGATTTATTGGGGATTCCATTGTTTATATTCATTTTGAGAATTGTCTCTCCCCAATTCCCCCTTTCTGTCTTTCAGCCAGTAATAGATTTTTTCCTCTTATCCCAAGTCCACTATATATTCTCAGGAGCTTTGGTGAAGAATTTATCAAGTCCACTTAAACTATACCTACTAAGTTACTGTTAATTCTATGCTTGTTGGCTTTCTTGAAGTATTTTGAAAGTTGAGTCAAATAAAATCTAACTTTGAAGAATCCATGTTCCTTCTTCTCTTTAAAATAACATGCACTTGATGGAAGAGTTGGGGCAAGGCCAGATAGCAGCTGCCTACCCAGAAGAAATATTAGAGTATTTTTTGACTGATACACATATGTTCATGCATGCACATATGTTTTCCTTTTCTCCATTGCTTCAGTCTGGTCAGAAGGGGAAATGCAATATTATTCAGTTTTAGAAAAAAATATTGAAAAGAATTAATTTAAAATGTTGGGAGTATTAATTCTGTACTTGTTTGATTTACAGTTCAACCCAGCATTTCCTAGATGTGTATGTTGGGAGTAGTTTATTCATAAAATAAACTATATACTGTAAACAGAGGTCTGAATGATATGACTGAAAGAAGTAAATGAAAGGGCTGGAAAAGTCATATCAATTACTTAAAAGTGTTGGACCCCAGATACTCTTTTAACATGGATAAAAGGAGCATCAGTTGTAACTGTTAATTTTTCATCTTAAACTTAAACATATAAAGAATGGATATTATAAGTTATTGTTATTCAAGATTGCATCTCACTCGTATCAGAAGCACTGAGAGGCTTCTGGGTTGAAAGAATAGATGGTGACATCACCGTTGCCAAGGGCTGCATGGATGGGGGGGGTCCTTTCGTGTCTGGCAGGAGCTGAAATGAAGGACAGGGAGCTCAGCCACCCAAGACAGCACTTGGGCCACGAACATGGGCTTGCTAACATCCAACCCAGCATCCTAACCACATGAGCTCTATGCTCCATATTACCCAAGATTAAGTAAATATTCTAGTATTTTTTTTTTTAGAAATAGAAATTAATAATTTAGAAATAAAAAATGATGAATATCAAATTGTGGCTGTTAATAACTTTTTGAACTGTACTTGGACATTGGGATTTTTTATTTGCTTATTTAAAATCTTTTTTCCTCCAGTGAAAATGTCGCTGTATCCTTCTCTGGAAGACCTGAAGGTAGACAAAGTAATTCAGGTATGACAAAATACATTTTATAATAATTTTTTGTTGTGGATAAACCTTGGTTTTTGAGATTTCTGAAGTATCACAGTAGTTTCAAGATACGGTATTTGTGATATAAATATTAAATTTTATTAATTATATTGCATATATTAATCATATGCATAACCAAAAATCATCTGGAGACATGAAACCTACATTTTTTCTAGAAGTTCTTTTAGCTATTCTGTTTAAAAAAAATAACATTTCCATATCTAGAATTGCTCAGCTGAACGTTGATTTGAGTATTCTCTTAATCTGTTTATGCCTGGTGAGCAGAATGGGGTTATCCATCTCTTTGAATAATCTTAGTGTTTTCTGGTTTACCAGAGATATGAATTCATCAAGCATTGTTTAGACTGAATGCTCTTGGCAGGTCATCCCATTCCTGACATGTGGTCCTGGCACAGGTTAATCGTGGAAGCTAATTTTAAGGCCTGATTGCAGTTCTAAAATTTGATTTCTTGAAATAACCTAGTATTGCAGGAGGAAGAATAAACTTTTTCATTAGCACTGACCTTCCACTAAATGGAAAAACAGTAAAATCAGTATCAATAATAATAGAAGTGATTTTAAAGTCTGACAGAGGGCCAGATAACCTTATCTCTAAACTGGTGTTAAGTATAAGATAAGAACAAGAAAACAGGAAGAAACTTTTAGAGAGAGGTGACGACTTTCCTGAGAAATATGTAGGTTGCATGAGATCTTTGTACTGCATTGAGACTTTGGCCAAAAGTTCTCCATGGCTGTTGCAGGATTAGTGTTAGATGAGAAGTCCAGTGACGGGTTTAAACTCTAAATGTCAGTAAACTGACTGCATAATCTTGAATCAGTACTTGAAATACTTGAAGACCATTTATACCAGCTTCGATTCCTAGAAGAAAGTGGAAGAACTCTAATTTTATTTATAAATTAAAGTTCACTTTTGATGTGGACATATAAATTGGTGCTCCTTTATGTCTCCTAATCTCTTTATCATCATTGTAGTGTCATAGCACATAGAAGTAGAGATTGTAAATACCTTTGTTCACTCTGCTTTTGTTGCATACTACGGTAGTTAAGCCCAACATCTAATATTTTTACATTTAGTGAAGCCAAATAGAAGGGGAAACGGGATACAATGTTATTACAGTCAGCTATGCATAAAATGGGTGGAGCATGCTTTAAACTTTATATTTTTAGCTTCAAAAATGTTTTAATCAGGAAAGCCGTGATGGATAACCATTTTGTCTCACTGTTTCTTTGATCAAAATCTCCTTGTTGTCTTCCCAAGTTAACTATGTGAATTTAACTTTTATCAAAGAACAGCCAATTGTGACTGCATTGAAATAAAATTAGAAGGCAAGGTTCTTACTATTGATTTAGGTCTAGTTGAGCATTTGGAGAATTGCTTCTTAAAATTGTGTCTTGCATAATGAGGAAATTGAAAAAAAATTACAAAACCTTATAAAATGTTCATTAACTATTAACATACCGGTATATTATTATTTAGAAACATACAGGTAGTCCTTGCTTAATGACAGCAACTGGGACTGGAATTTCATCACCAAGAATGCTGTCATAAAGTGCAACATCACATGATCACATTGCTTAGCAATAACAATCTTAGCAATTCCTGTTGCCATTGTTAAGCAAGGATCACAGGTAATAAAGCAAAGACTACCTCACAACTTCTTGCATACTTCCAACAAGCAAAGTTAATCAGGAAGCCCACAGGAAGTTGCAAGCCCTTGGTGGCTCATGAACAGGATGGCAGTCAGATAAGGGGCTGCTGTGCTGTGCTGTGTGTAGGGTGGCTCCACCAGTTTGGGGAGGGTGCATCAGTAACAGCGCTATATGAGAATGAAGGGCTTGTGTTGGCAGTTATCGGGGATGGGAGAATACATCTGCACCCATGAGTGGTTGCTGCCAGGTGAGAGACGCTGTGTCAGTAGTTGCAAGTGGCTGCTTCCAGGTGAAGGAGAGTGTGCCAGTGATTGCCACGCAGGCATTGCTGGACTTACATAGATGTAGGCAAGAGGTGTTACAATTATGCACTGCGCGCACTAGCAATAACACTTAGATCTATATACCACTCCATAGTGCTTTACAGCACCCTCTGAGTGGTTTGTAAATACCAGCATATTGCCCTTAACAATCTGGGTCCTCATTTTACTGATCTCAGAAGGATGGAAGACTGAGTCACACTGAGCCAATCAGGATCGAACTCCTGGCTGTGGGTAAATACTGCAATAATAGCTGGCAATACTGCATTCTAACTATGACTCATAAGTACACTAGAATAAGATTCCCAGAATCTTGTACTCAAAAAAAAAAAAAAAAAAGCTGTGGGACCAACTTAAGAGGACCAATTTGTAATCTTCCCTGCTGGCTTCCCCCATTGACTTTGCTTGAGGGACACTGGCAGGAAGATCACAAATGGTGACTATGTGACCACAGGATCCTGCAACCATTGTAAGTGCCAAGTGCCCAGATTGTGATTATATGATCATGGGGTGCTGGGATAGATAAACTTTGAAGACCAGTCATAAGTACCTTATGCTCAGCGCCATTGTAACTTTGAACAGTTGCTAATGAAAGATCATTAACCAAAAGCTGACTCTAAAATATTATATATTTTTATGTAGTTTAATCCTTATAATGTTTTTAAATCATATTTCTGTATAGGCTCAGACATCCTTTGCTTCAAACCCAGCTAACCCAGCAATTCTATCTGAAGCTTCAGCACCCATCTTACAAGATGGAAGTAAGTTGATATAAGATTTGAAAAATGCTTGATACTTTGTATAAATTTCATTGATTGTAGAAGGATTTAATGATTTAATTGATTGTTATGTTTGGCTCTTAATGTGATCTTACTTTCACAATCCAAGCATATATTTATTTTATAGCCTTTGAAATCCTGTCTATTGATGAATTCTGAGCTTATCTCAAAAGAAATGAACTTTGCACGTTTTAATTTGAAGAAAAAAGCTCAATGATGTTTTTATATTTTATAATATGTACTTGAATTACATTGTTTTTATTGTTTTTCTGAGAACGATAGTATCACTTTATATATATACACATTTGTTATAAAAATAAATCAAACTTATTGAAATGCTTATATTCAGTTTGGAATTTTAAACACAAGGAGTGCAGTATAGATTTTGTGACCTGTTGTCTTATTTTCAGGCAGAAAACCATTTTCTATAGTGTAGAATCATTGTAAGACAATGTAATATTGCTGCGGTATGAAAATAAATTTCAGGTAAGTGAATTTAGTACCTTCAACTAGTGTGTTAAGTTTTTAAAAATCCCAAAGGATGAGATTAGTGAAATATGAGGCATGCTGTTGATTTTGCCAAGAGTATAACTGAAGGAACAGAAATACCATTGTAGCAAGATTATAATTACTTTTCTTTATTTTTTTCAGATTTATATCCTAAACTGTATCCTGAACTTTCCCAGTATATGGGTATAACTTTGAATGATGAGGAAATTCAGAGAAACCTGACAATGGTTCCTGCAAATTCACAGGGGGTAAGTGTCTTAACAGAGAACAGGGATTCCTTTGGGCTTTACTGATTTTGAGGGTTTGAATTATTCATGAAAAAAAAGAAAGAAAGATGGGAAACCTTCTACTGCAGTGTTGGCTAACCTTTTTGTCACCGAGTGCCGAAACGGGAGAACATGCACGCGTGCCAGAAACCGGAAGAGCAGCCACCCGGTGCACATAACGCGCACTGGGTGGCTGCTCTTCTGGTTTCCAGCACGTGCATGCGCAGCGGCCACGTGGTCTTCCGGTCAGTGTGCATGCGCACACGGAAACCGGAAGAGCAGCTGTCCCGTGCGCATGTATGCGCCTGGAAGATAATCTAGTTTCCGACGTGCATACCGGCCAGCTGGTCTTCATACGAGCATGCATGCCAGAAACCGGAAGACCAGGTGGTTGGTGTGCATGCGTGCACTGGAAACAGAAGAGCCGCCGCCGCCAGTTTCCGGTGCTCCCATGCGCATGAAGACTAGCTGGCCGGAAGAGCAATGGGCAATGGCTCGTGCACCTGGAGAGATGGCTCTGTGTGCCACTTCCAGCACACGTGCCATAGGTTCACCATCACGGTTCTATTGTATTCCCTCCCCTATAATTGAAAAAGTCATAACAAAAAAACTTATGTGCTACATAAAACAGTAGATGTATCTGCTCAGCTTGAATTTACTTCAGTCTTTGTCATAACTGTGATTTTATAGATGATAAAATATCAACATAACACAACACACTCATTTACATCAAAGATCTATGTCTGATAGTAGAGTTTGTGCTTATTTTTAATTTGTTGGGGGGGGGATGTTTTTGTACTCTATAGCTTGTTGCAAGACCTTCTGCATCAGATTACATGATAGCTCCAGTAACTGGAAATGATGTTGGAATTCGTCGAGCAGAAATTAAGCAGGGGATCCGTGAACTGATCTTGTGTAAAGATCAGGAAGGAAAAATTGGTCTTCGTCTTAAGTCAGTGGACAATGTATGTATAATAAGTGTTATGCTAGAATTCAAAATAGGATAAATTGTTACATAAAGATGTATTCTTTATAGTTTATCTTTCAGCCCTTAATCTGCTACATGACTTTCAATATATATGAGTTGGACAGCAAAAATATTTTTAAAAATGAAAAAGGCTTATATTTATTTGTCAAAAAGAAATTGCTAACTTTTAAGAAATTAAACAATTTCGTGAGTAATATAATTAACAGTATAATCAGAGAACTAATATTAGCTTAATAAATTTTATCAAATTTAAATATGTATTTTTGAATTAAAATTTAAGGGAGTGGTGGATGTAATATAGTAATGTTAATAGACAGTTGGGGCTTGCTAATGATAAATTTGTTCAGTATATTTCTCCTCTGCTTTTAATGTATACAGGAATTATATGCGCACGCCCCTAAATTTACCAACATTATTGTTTTAGGGTGTCTTTGCTCAGCTGGTTCAGGCAAACTCCCCAGCCGCACTGGCTGGCCTGCGATTTGGAGACCAGATTCTACAAATCAATGGTGAAAATTGTGCTGGATGGAGTTCTGATAAAGCTCATAAAATATTGAAGCAAGTTCCTGGAGAGAGAATTTCCATGATTATTCGAGACAGGTAAACTTGCAGGATTATTGTATATCAGCTGAATTATATTAATAGTAAGATCTGTGCTTTCTATATTGTTTGTTTTATTGTTTTATTAAATTTGTTTGTTTTATTAAATTTGTATATCGCCCTACTCCCGAAGGACTCAGGGCGGTGAACAGGCACAGGATAAAATACAGAAATACAAAAGTTAGAAACAATTTAAAACCAAATTAAATAATTTAGCCCATGACCATTAAAATCCCAATAATTTAAAACAAATTAAAATTTCAGTTTAAAAAATTTAAAAGAAAGGGGAGAAAATTAGGCCAGGCCGGCTTGCTGGAATAAGAGGGTCTTAAGAGCACGGTGGAAGGTGCGCAGATCTGGGATCCTCCGTATTTCCAGTGGGAACTCGTTCCAGATAATGGGTGCCCCCACAGAGAAGGCCCTCCCCCTGGGAGCCGCCAGTCGACACTGCTTGGCTGACGGCACCTGGAAGAGCCCTTCTCTATGAGAGCGTACCGGCCGGTGGGAGGCTGTTTGTGGTAGTAGGCGGTCCCGTAAATAACCAGTTGTTAAGTTGTTAACTTAAAAGAATAAGCTTCTTCACAGCCAGTAAATTTGGGATTAATTTTATTGCGGACAGTGGTTCAGTAATATATTCGGTAAATTTTATAAATAGTGAAATATAAATATTTTTCTTCTAGGCCTTTTGAACGGACTATTACCATGCACAAGGACAGTACAGGACATGTTGGCTTTATTTTCAAAAATGGAAAAATAACTTCGATAGTAAAGGATAGTTCTGCTGCAAGAAATGGACTTCTTACTGAACACAGCATTTGTGAAATTAATGGACAAAATGTAATTGGTCTGAAGGTAAATATGTTTTCTGTAAATATATGTTACTCTCAATCAATTATACTTACAAATGGTGTTTTTTGTCAGTTTATGAGTAATATACAATTGTACCTTGGCACTCGACTGCTTTGAAGCTCATCGAATTTGGTACTTGATGCATTTTGATGAGAAAATTTTGTCCTAATACTCATTTGTTTGGTGCTCCATGTGCAAGCTATAACTTATTGGTGTGAGCTGCCTTGAGATTTCCTACCTTTTCCAGCTGAAACAAAGGTTCATGCATTAGTCTTGCAGTATCTTTCCCCTGTGCCCATCCCCTTGTGGTCTTGTCTTAGCTTCTGTGGTCATTTTGTGCATTTTTGCACTTTTTTTCTTCAGTAGTACAGGTAAAGTGAAGTTTTATTTTATTCAAGTGTTTATTAATTTTAATAAATTTTATTTCTTAGGGTTGTATAATTATATACAACCCTATCTTTCTACATATTGTCTTAAAATGTGCATTGTCTTTGATTTGGGAACACATTAAATTTATTTACATTATTCCTTAAAATTGGTACTTGTTACTTTTGGTACTTATTGCACCTGCCGGAACCAATTAAGCACAAGTACCGAAGTACCACTATATATGGTTTCCTATTTGAAAACAAGAAAGCAATAACAGGCATTATATTTCTGTTTGTGTAGCAATGCAGGTTTATGCCTTTAGTAGAGATGATTATTATTGATTAGAGCCTTATTTTAGTCAGCTTCTAGCTTTACTTTTCTTGTAAAGAGCTGCTGTTTCCTCTTGCTGATGAAAAAAGAATAACTATTTGCATTTATCTGCTGAATTGTAGCTGTGTGCATGACTTATCTCTCAAATAATCTGACACTATCTTTAGCCTGTGAGTATATTTTATTTAAACCACGAAATAAACTACTTTATTCACCCTTGAAACAAAGTTAAAACCATTGTGGCTATAAAACAATTTCAAGGTTTATAAGGTTTATGACTTTTACACTTTGTTTAACAGGATTCCCAGATTGCGGACATATTATCAACAGCTGGAAATGTAGTGACCATTACTATGATGCCTTCCCAGATCTTTGAACACATAATAAAAAGGTATGAGTGTTTTTTTAAATGTGTGTGGTATGGGCTCTTTATCTTTTGAAAGGATGGATAATATGCATTGAACTTATTATAATGAATATAAAATGCAGATAGTCTTCTCTTACTAACCGCTTCTTCATTGACCAAAATTATGACAGTGCTGAAAAGGTAACTTAATGGTCAACTTAAGATCATTGGAAGTCCATCAGAAATGTGATCAACATTACTATTGGCACATGTCCTGTGCCTGCATTTTATTTTTTTATTTTTTCTCACCTTGCTGAACAAGAAAGGAAGCTTTTTTGATTTTCTGCACATGGAAAGCAATGTGATTGCACTGGCTGTTGAAATCCCTTCCTCTCCAATTTCTCTTGTTTGCAAGGGTGGCTGGAAAATAAGTGATTTCTGTAGGCATTCTCTTCTTTGCCTGACCCTTTCCTCCTGCCAAGGCAATCACATTGTTTTTGATGCAGCTTACTCCCTTGAAATCCCTACTTCTCCGATCTTTTGGGGGAGATGGGTCAGGCAAGGAGAGATTGGTTACAGAAATTATTTGCTTTCTTCCTACCCAACCACCTTGCAGATTAAAGAAGCAGTTTAGAGAGAGTAAGCTGTGGCTGCCAGTCCTATACTGCGGAACATTTACATTGCTTTTGATATGTGTAAGACAGTAAGCAGACACTTGAGTATTCCAAAGAATGGGTCTATAGTTAGCGGACAAACAGAAGCTGTAGATATGAAACTGACTAGTCTTGTCTATTTCTAGCCAGAAAGCTCAGTTGTGGTCACATTATTTCTCACTTAATGATTGCTTCACTTCGAATCCCAATTAGATTCACTTAGTGAAGATTATATGTATTGGTAATAGTACCTTATTCCAGCAACTTTATTCTCAATTACATTGGAACGCATCTAAACTTTGCAATTGGAAATAATTGAAAACTTAACACTTTTAACTCTTGAAGTTTCTTTTTAAGAGTAAACATTAATATAAGAGAATATATATAGTTCAGGATTAATTAATTAATTAATTAATTAATTAATTAAAGGATTGAATTGAGAGTCCTTAGTGCTGACTTTGGTTGTTTGCCTGCAGATGTTTAATTTCCCTACTAGATACAACCAATACAAGTGAATGTGGGGTTTGCTCCCTGCTTATATACAGTAGCTGGCTCTGCCAGTTTTGAAGGGGGTGTGGTTTTCTCTTCTGTAGTTCCTTGATTAGGGTATTTTTTCTGCTTGATAGCAATCAAGCACAGAGAGCACCAAGGATTCCATCTATTAATTAAAGTTATAACTCTTTGCATATATTTGCTCATAGAATAACATCATAGTGATCAGATGTTGGTCAGATGAACAAAAAGAGGTCCATGTGCAAAGGTTCAAAATTAACTGATTTATTGCTAAAAGTCCATCCCCAGAAATATTTTCAACTAATGGTCAGAATCTGATTAGCATTAGATAAGTGTCAACGACTTGGTTTGTGGAACTCTAAACTGATCCCTCTTTTTATTCCTCCACATAGCTCTGCCAATTCTTCTACACAAACCTGCTAATATTAATTCATGTAACTCAGATATTTTGCTCTATTCTTTTTGTAATTCTGCAAATTTTGAATGACTTGCATATTCCATTATGGGCTAATACATTGTGAACTTTTTTTTCTAGGATGGCTTCAAGCATTATGAAAAGTTTGATGGATCATACTATTCCTGAAGTCTAAAATTTATTTTGGATGCATTTGTAATTGAGACACTGCTAAACATGGCTACTATGTCTTCGCAATATTTACATTCTGCACATGAGCCTTTCTTTACATGAAATGCTGCATTGAGCATTTAATTACATTATGGCTGGGAATGTCACATTTCAACAAAAACCTTGCTCACACTTTGCATTTTATATTCATCATGCTACTTTGACAAAACATGTGCTTCTTTCATAGGGTTGTATTATATAGGTCAGGAAAATTTATGTCATTAAAAATGGAAGAAAACTAATGTTTGTGAAAGCATCTAGTATTTGCTTTCTTTGATCCAGATATACTGCTGCTCTTTGTACTTTTTCAGATTCATTTTTGTACTGCATCTACCAGTGAAAATATAACTTAGTGTTAATTAACTGATTTTAGTAATCATGTTTACAGAAAGCATGCTGGTTAAACTGAGCATAGCTTGTATTTATCATTCCATAACTATTTTAAAATAATGTTTGTCTTTTTGCTGTCTTATAAAATTGTTCTAATATGCTTATATTGTATTGCCTTAATCCTCTTAAAACTGAAATAAAATTGCAAATATATTCACTTCCTAAATGGGTAGTATTTTGCACTGATGAATCTCTAAATCCTGATTGTTAGCAATATAATCCAGCATAAATGAAGCAATGAAAGTGTTAAACATTTTACCTAAATGGTGTGGTTTATGGCTCTTGAAATAGTAAAATCAGAGTAGGCTATAGTATTTTTTATTACATCAACCAATTTTACTAATACTAAATAAAATGTAATATTGGACATGGGTAACATTTTAATAACTTAGTCATGAGGGTTTTTAATTTATTTCTTCTCTAACAGATAGCCTTTGATATAGTAATTGTAGTAAGAAACCAGCTGTTTACTGATGTTCTATCAGTTGGATGTCAAGCTTTAATGCCAGAAGATAAGCCCAACCTGGCAGCTAGACAGAAGAAAAAAGTTACAAATACTGGCATGTAATATATGCATTCTATCACAGGTATAATACAGAGAATTAGATGTAATTCTTAATTGCTTAGCAATCGTATCTGCATTAAAATAATACAAGTACATCTGAAAAGTTGAGTGGTTTTTTGGCACATACTAATGAAGAATCATTGGGAATTAAATAATGTTATTGCAAATAAATAATATTTACCACTATAACTACTTTAGTTTTGCAGAAGCAAAAACTTTTGGAGATTCATTGAAACAATATATTGAAACAGTATATTGTAATTTAAAGTACTACAGTATATAGAAAATCAGCATTTGAATGGGACTCAATAGTGTGTATGCAAACATGTTTTATATTGGTTTGCAGAGGAGGGTGAAAAAGGATTAATGTTTTGGCCTGGCCAGTAAACCATCACAGTTGATACATTTTTCAGAGATTAAACTGCAGCACTTGACTTAACAAAGGGTAGAGTGATGATGACTGTTTTCATTTAACAGTTAAATATTTATTAGTAAATGAAATACTCCCCAGTCCAAATACAGAGATAGCAGTAGTCAGTGAAAGGAAAAAATGATAAGGGAGAAATGAGCACTCTAGGTCAGACCTAGTAAATGTGGATGAGAATGTTAAACTCCACTTGTCCCTGGCACTTGGAAGAGAGATTTGAATGCAAAATCATGGCAATATATAGATAACCCTTAGTAAGAATGTGTAAACGTGTTTGATAAGAAATGTGTGCTAGTCCACAAAAAAAAAAAAAAAAAAAAAGCAAATGTAACCCTACCAGCTGATTTATATTCCAAGCAGCTTTATAAAATCAGGGGAAAAAAATAAGAGACTTTCCCAACTAAAATACAAAATTGTAAAGTTATTGATTTAGCAATCAAACAGCTGGTTGATAGCGGTCTATAGGGTGAAACAATAAAAACATCATCATATTGAGATGGAAGTTTAGGGGAAATAATTCTGCCAAGTACATAAAACAGAACAAAATCCTGTTAGTTAGAAAGCAGGAGACCGTGGAGGCACAAAGCCCACTGGTTCACTTTGGCCAATCATTTTGTCTCTCAGCCCTAGGAAGAAGACAATGGCAAACCAGCCAAGTAATTTCCTGATTGCAATATTGGCAAAATAATGCCAAGAAAACTGCAGGAATTTGTCTAGGCAGTCACCAGGCATCAACCTGACTTGAAGACAAAACATACACAAGGAACAATATATAGAGTAGTATGATTTCAAGTTAGAACATTGGTTACTGAAAAATAAGTTTATTTTCAACACGAGTATAAGACAAAGTACCTCAAGCTGTTACAGTATTACTTCAGTAAATAGGCAAGAGCATACAGACATTTGTAACATTTTAGAGTCTTCATCAATACACAACAGGAATAGGGTGGGGGAAGGGGACCAGAAGTTCTGTTTGAACTATAGAAAGCATTTTTACATTTAGGCAAGGTCCTTTTAAAATTCTGGTTTAAAATATTAAGGATTGATATTATCAGAGAAAAAGCACTTAGTATTGTTGTTTCCAGAACACAATTTGCCTATCTTCTCCTCCAGTAATTATATTGCTGCACTGGTCATTCATCCACATACAAGTCACAGCACCTAAGGAAGATACATATGCAAGTCAATCAGATTGACCATTTGCAACCACCTTCCTCAAACTGCTAGCTGCAATTCATAACTTCATTCCAACTACAAACGACTTTAGCTCACAGCACCTATGAAATCTACATTTTGAGAAGCAAGTTATGGAATTTGTCATATTTAATTATGACAGAAATGATATACCAAAAGCTCCCAAGCTAAGCTAAAAATGGTGGGACATGAAACTGTTCTATAAACTGTTGATTAATGAACAGGAAATAGTAAAAAATAATAAGGAGCCTTGGTAGTACAGTGGTTTAATGCACCCTGTTATTAACACAGCTGCCTGCAATTTCTGCAGGTTCGAATCTTACCAGGCTCAAGGTTGACTCAGCCTTCCATCCTTTCTAAGGTAGGTTAAATGAGGACCCAGTTTGTGGGGGCAATAAGCTGACTTTGTATAAATATACAAAAGTATGAAGGTTATTGCTTAACACATTGTAAGCCGACCTGAGTCTCCAGAGAAGGACGGCATATAAATCAAATTAAAAAAAAAAAAAAGCATGCATCCCTATTGGCAAGGCAGGGTATTCTTTCCAAACATCTGATTTGGGATTGGTACTTTCAAAATTGTAAGTAATAATTATGGATTTTAGGTAAGTAATGAAGTAATGAACTAAGAATAACTTGCGAATGGTTCTAAAACTGTTGAGCTGATTGCCTTCCAATGTCTCCGAGTTTGAAAAAAGAGTTGCAAAGCCAAGATACCAATAAAGGAGAATATTTGAAGTACAGGTTGAAATGAGGGGTCCTTAGTGCTCTCTGAGTTTGTTTTTTTGCAAATTTCATTACTCAAACTAGGTAACATCATTAGTTCTAGTAAGGACGGGGGTTTGCTGTCGGTTCATCAGAAGTCATCTACAACATACAGTGTAATGACTGCAGCAGCCACTACGTAGGACCAACAGGAAATGACTGGCAGAATGCATTCATGAACTTCAACTAGCAATCAGAAGAAGTTGTGAAACTAATTTCAAAACATATGGACAGAGTTAACCATAGTTTCATTTAGGAAACAGGAAAACCTAGACCAAACCAAGTCCAAAATTACTAGGGAATATCTAGAAGCTTGGCACTCTAACAAATAGACAATGGACACATAGTCATAAACAATATCTACATACTATGCAAAAGAGACAGTCAATGAGCCAAAACCAACAAAAACAAAGCATCTCCCCACCAGCAATCAGCACTCAGATGAGCATATATTAACTCCAAAATTAACATCATACCAACAATCAAAAAGTAAATAATTCCGCAGTCAAGGGACTGCCAAACAAGCTAACAGTAAAGAGCCCAACCAAAGAACCTCCAAGGCCATCCCCACCAATACTGACAGGGCAAGACACTATAGAACAAGGGTCCTCAAACTACGGCCCGCAGGTCACATACTGTCTGCTGAAGCCATTAATCCAACCCACGCAGGACCATGAGGCTGCCCCGCCTACATCACCCTGCCCACCTGCCGGTCCTCACACTTCGGCCGAGCACAGGACTTACCTTTGTAAGTCCTGCGGACTGGAACTGGAAGGCAAAGCCATATTTTTGGCCTGCAGAGCGGTTCTGGAGGTGGGGGAGGTGAAAAATGGAGCATGCAGGCCAAAAACGGGCTATTTTAGCTTGTTTTTGGCCTGCAGAAATATTCTGGAGGTGGGAGAGGTGAAAAACAGGGCATGCAGATGCCTCAGGAGGCCAAAAAATGGGCCGTTTTAGCCCGTTTTTGGCCTGCAGAATGCTTCTGGAGGTGACGGAGGTGAAAAACGGGGGCATTTTTCACCTCCCCCGCCTCTAGAAGATGGACAGAGAGAAAGAGAGAGACAGAGGTAGAGAAAGAGAGGGGGGGGACGAGAGAGAAACAGGCAGACAGACAGACAGGCAAAGACAGAGAGGTAGAGAGAGACACAGAAAGAGAGAGACAGAGAGAGAGAGAGATAAGAGGCACACACACAGAGAGACTTGTTGATTGAAAGCTCCTTGGGGCTGAGAAGAATTGCTGCAAAACTGAGTTTCCTGAAATGGACAAATAGACTCCTAAACAACTGAAAAACCAACTTAGTAAAAAGAAAAGTCAACTAAAAGAGTAACATGAAAACAAAAGCAAAAAAGACCACCTCCAGGAGCAAAACAAAGTTTAATTTGTGTGCATTGTTTAATGGACTGTTAAATTGGCCACACCCACCTAGTCAGATGACCTAGCCACACCCTCCATCACATGACTACCTAGCCATGCCCCCCCCCCTGCAGGTCCGCTCACCCAAGCAGTCTGAGGCATCATGAATTGGCCCCGTTTAAAAAGTTTGAGGATCCCCTGCACTAGAATATAACTGAGAGCAAACCTCACTTGGTCTAGCACTGATGTTACCTAGTTTGGTTAATGAAATATCTACAAGAAGACAATCAAGCTCAGAGATCCGAGACAGAATAAATTGAGGGCAATATTGTTTCTGGTTTTCTGATACTTTTTATTAGTTTTTTTAATAAAAATATCTCCAATATGTAAAGTGCATCAGCTAATAACATAGCAGACACAAATCTATCTCTAAGGAAAGACACTGCTTTTAAAAGATTATTTGCTATGGAGATTGTGAGTGTAATATCTAAGCACATGTAAAATTTCACATTCTTTCCTAGTTAGTAGGATGCAGGCAACAGTGTATTTCTTTTAATGTAGCCTCTATACTGAAGATCCTGGTTTGGATAAAATAGTCTGAACATGCTCAGGCTAAAGGCTGCCCAGTCATAAGACTTGGGGAGCCTATCAATCAATTCAAGCCAAAATGATATTTTTTTGCCCCTCCTATATCCATCCTTAAAATTCCACTAAACTTTTTGTGCAGTCAGATTCTGTTGTTTCTATTTTTTTTTCCTGATTGAAATTGTTTACAATCACGTGTTTAGTAACTTCAAAAATGTTTTGCTTATTTCTTAATATTCCAAGCTTTAGTATATAATAAAGGTCATGAACCTTTGAGCCAACATTCTTCTGAATTTCCCACTGAATGGTTTAATAGGATCCTTAAAAACAATATTCTGACTTCTTTCTACAGTATACAAATTCTTAGGATTCTTACTTCATGTTATCAAGATCGATAATTTTATACATTAGTTTAAGAAGCAAGAGCAACTTATAAGATGAGCATGCACTTTTATCTAATATTTAAAGGCTTCAGAGTTTTGAAATGTCACTTAGAAACATTTAAAAAATATATTAAAACATACCTGCATGTCCTGGAATTTTTTCTAATGTTTTTCCTCCAAGTATATCCCAAACAAACAATTCTCCTGACTGACTTCCTGATAAAACTATGTGTCCATCCCATTTGAAACATCTGCAAAAATAAGTTTGTCAAACCAAAATTGGTTATCATTTGATGTTATATAACTTTACTATCGCCACACTTTCCAGGGCTTAATAAAACATAGGCTATTGCTAAGAAAGTGTGGTTTCAGATTAAGAAAATTGAAATGTATTT